TACACGCATTTCCAATTACATAAAAAGAAAGTTTCGTACAGTCTCACCTTTGTATAAAACATGACTTCATTACCGAAAAAATCTTTGCTCCTGAAAGTCTTTCTCCTGCCAACATTTTTGGGAATTGATTTTACGACGAAATTAACTTGCACTTGTTGTCCGTCCACAACACCATACAGGACACCTTTGTTAACAGTCGACAGGTAGCTATCACCCTTGGCAAATCCCTCGCCAAATTTCCAATCTGTCAACTGCACCTTCTTACCGTCACATGCTTTACGGAGAACGTCTACTAGCACCTCTTTCGTGAACTTGTCACTCACGTCGCTCAAATTAACATGGTTATTAGTTTGACTCATGATTGTGATTTCTTCTACTTTCGTATTTATTAATAAATTAATTTACGAAACTCGACAATACTTTCGAAATACTGAAATCTGATCGGGAATACTAGATTTAAATACTGTAATATTATACTGAAATTAATACTTATGTTTAATTTAAAGGGTATTTTAACGGACTGTTTATACCGATGCGTGCGATTTAAATCTTTTATAATAGATATTTCTCATTAAAAGAATGTAACAAATGGGTGAGCAACATTGAAATATTAAGAACTAAGGTATAATGAAGCCGTTGGAATACTTATATTTATAACGCAATTGTTATCTCGTCGGACGTGATTTATAGTAATTTTTAAGTATCTCTCTGATAACTCGATCTTTTCTTTCCGTGATAAAAACAGTCTGTAATTCATTCACAAAAGCATCTTGTCATTTTGTAATCTTCAACTTTTCTACATTACAATTTTTGACAGCATGATTAATTTGTATGCTCACTTACATATACATAAATCTCTTTTTTATGGTCCAGTTTTTCTCGTCGAAGGAGAGAGGGGGGAAAAGAAATGTTTACGTCGGTTGTTCTTCATGCGAATATAGTCGATCGTAATAAAAAAGACGTCCTGATTGTCAACGTAATCGCAGTAATCACACGTGAACAAACCTCGCATTCCTCGCGCGTCGGTCTGCCAAGCTGCCACGTATCAAACTATGACGTTAAACGTAATTTTCCATTGGAAAGCAGGATCTTATTGAGATTTATTAAATCAACCGGGCTGGCGTGGAGGGGACGAATTAAATGGTACAAACAGTAGCAAGAGGCCACCAGGGGAAATGTGACTGAATTCTATGAACTGCCAGTCTCTCTTCGTCGACATTCTGAACACTGTGGTCGACTGTAGATCGTGCGCATGTTCTATCATCGATTTGCATTCGCGAAACTGTGCGAAACATAACCTTACGCATTGCTAGAAGAAATGAGAAGATTCTCCGATAGAAAGTTTTTTTGATAGAACAGCTGATAAGAAATAGAGCTTGTTATCGCATACGACCGCAAAAATTACACTCCTTTTTTTAACATTTTGTTTCTTTAAGTGGTAAATTGGTTTAAATATTTTTATATATATAGGGTCATCATTATCGAAACTATTAAATAAATATCTATATATATATATATATATATATATATATATATATATATATA